AGTGATAAGCGGGGCGTCTTTCACAATTTACAAAACTTGCATCAGGCATAACCCAACCATTGTGGTGAGAAAGTTAAAACTAGTCACAGTTTTCCAATGTGACTGGCCTGATTGAGAAATGCAAGAAAAAACCGACCGCTATTTTTCCTCAAAGGATAGCGTGTAGGAAGGACTCTAAAATTATAATAATAATTTATTACTTATATGGCGCAAAATACTTGTGGATATGATCTTATGCGCTAAAACTGATAATAGAGGGAGTGGGGGGAGAGGGCGTATCCTGAGGATATTATTACAGAGCCTTATTGGGGGGAGTAAAAAAATATCAGCAAAAATTGTTATCACAACGATAGGTTGTATTCGTAGATGTGATGAAGATTACTTTTTAATCACTTCCCTTAGATCGCTCGGCGCAATGCCGTTGTTTGAAATCTAAACTGTTGAACAGTTAACGTTTTGTTAAGACGGTTTTTAACCCGGAAATTTAAAAATTTCCTATGTTCAGACCTTTCTTTCTATTCTTATCTTCTAGTTTAACGGTAGTTACGTAACTTTAAGTCTCTAACCTATTTGAATGCTTATAGATTGATATGAAATTTGGGAAAAACACAATACCTACCATGGCAGTCAGGAGGTTTTCCTTCTTTCCCATAAGGACATGGTTCCCCGAAGCCTAAGTAGGGTTAAAAATAAAAGGACACTGTAGACGTATCGAAGCCTTTCGACAAAAAGAAAAAAATTAAAGAAAATGGGGTGAAAATTGTCCATTGATGATGATAAGGAAACATGTGTATGGTTAGTCTCCCCATCACAATCAATAAACCTCGGAGTACACATAAAAAAAATACAATTTTTCATGCGAACATAGCGCCCTAACTTCCCAATGCAGTTACTCTTGTGTATGTTAATTCGTTGTTTGTTCAGTAGTAAATAATCTATAATAATCTATGGTCACAAACAATACGCTTTTCAAAAAGAATACATCAGATTTGCTGAGGCTTACGTCACGACTTCCGCTTCTATTCTTAACTCATAAAAGAAGCCGTTCGTGTTGGTCGATTCGCCTATCGATTTGAATAACTGATTTCTTAAGGCTTGCCTCTGGATATTGCTTAGGGTTAGCTCAGCGAAAACTATCAAACCTACCAGCACAATAACCGACTGCGCAATACCATGGTGGTCTTAGATAGTAAACGAATACGTCATCTGCGCACTTTGTTATATTAATGTCAAACGAAGTAAAGCAACCGTTGCTCAAATCTAAAACGTTAACACAAGCTCTGCGGACGACGTTTTCTCCTATCGCTGTGGGATGCACTCCGTCCAACCATATTGGAGCTTGCGTACCACAGCGGTTCGGTGATACTTTCTTTTCTAGCATTTTTCCCCCAGCGAAGCTTGTGAAACGATACCATCCCCATCCGAGTCCCCGATCACATATTGGATCTTGTCCCGGTTCCCAAATAGCCTTAATGCTGCGGCGGGGATCGTTAATTTCGATGTATGTTGAGCAGCAAGAGCCATCATTGCAATCCACTTGCGCTAGACAGGCAGCGCTACTAAGGAGAGCCACTGTCACGATGCAGCGGATCATGACAACGTCACCAAAGCTTATCGTGTACTGATCAAGCTCTTGTATAATATTCGTTTAAATTCTTTAAGGAAGTTGTATGCCAAGATTCTATTTTAGCATACCGTGTATTCGGGTTCGTGATTGGTTTAAGCTTACGCAAATAATTAAAAAAGGGTGGGGGGTTTTTTAACACGGAAAGAATTGTTATGGTAACTCTGGTTTCAGTTTTGTTCCGTCAGCGCCGAAACCAAAATTGCCTGACAAGCAGTTTTTATGCAGGATTGCCATGTACATGTACAGATGACAAAACCGCGTACAGGAACCGAATTAAATTACATGAAGTCTCAACGAACTGAAGCCATTCACCGGTTTGTGATCTTGAACCTTTAAAAAGCGGCTTTTGTTGAAAAAAATCGAAAGTAAAATTTATTGCGCCTGGGTGGTTTTAAAGACATCCGGTTGGTATCAAGCAGATTCTCGCCCAAACGGCACATTTGCATTAATAACAGAAATTCCTAATACTTTAAGTAATAGAGGTATTTTTAGACAAGATCAGTTGTGCAAACTCCAGCCGCGTCGACTAATTATTTGTTCCTAAGCCGATTTGTAGTTCTGAGTTGAAAATTTCACGTAACACATACTTGTACCTCTAATCGACAAAATACTAGATTTTAGTTCTGAACTAGCTCTGTGGATACGATCTTGCGTAGAAATGAGCACAAGACGTCGTCGCAAATATCTTTGTCGTATTTCTTGAATTAGATAATCATACAAGCATTGAAATTTGACGACTGAATTCATAAAATATTTATGACTTATTAAAGCGGCTGCTCGAACGTGACATGCTACAAGAATTCACTTTTAAGAAGAACCTTGATCGAGATTTTGATAGAGTTTGGTACTTGGTCGAGTGAAAGAGTCGACCTTGAAAAAAAGAAAATATACAACTGATGAACAGATTACCATCTCAGGCGATGCACATCTTGCACACTTGTGTGTTTTGCAACGTGTTAGTTAAAAAAATAACTTGTATGTATTCACTATCATGTACATAAAGAAGTTGAATTCACAACTCTTTATTCTCTATATTTGCTGAAGTTATTAAATACTTAGGTATGGGCGAAGTTTGCTATACTTGCAAATTTCGCTGTAGAATTTTCCTGATTTTAGATTAGAATATGCGAGTTTGAATGTTTATGCGGTTAGCACTTTTGAAGTGATTTTTGAGGGGATCCTTGAGAAACAATACACTAAACGTCATAGCATTAATATTGGTTGCATAAACAACAGAACAAAGGTATCTAAAGTTTACTTTCTTTTTGTGACTAAGGATAATAACCCTTTGTTTCCTGCTTAATGCGTGAAGCTTCCGTAGTTGCTGGTGTTCGGTTGTTTTAAAAGTAAACGTAAATTGGCCAAACGTCAGCATTTCAATGCTGACGTTGCGATCAACCGGTAGCTCTTCATCGGAGCGACGAAGGGCCAACGCTTTAAACGTCAGCTTTGAAACTCTTTACGGTGGTCAATTTACTTTATCAACTCAGTTGACAATACTTAACTACCCTGTTATACTATCCACCTACGCAGCACCACATGCCACAGATTCTTTATTCATTTAGTTTTAAAAGCAGGTTTTGACGCTCAATCAAACCCCTCTTTGATAAATTGTGGGCTGATTTAGGTGCTATCTCTCAGTACGTGCAAGTAAGGCTTGAAATCACACAAAACTCGAAATTATATCTTAGTACAGGTAATAATATCACGGTATGATTAAACTCGTG